TTATAGAAGATACAGGACTGGGTACGGTTCTAGTTGTTGCCCGACCAAATTGCGAAGACATTGCCAACCAACAGAATACAACTAAAGAAAACTGTGACCAAACCAAAGGCCATAACATCCTTATATAAGAGATACGAAAAATATGAAGCTTAATCAAATGAGTTATTACTAGTCCTAAATTCTCTAAAGTAAGCTTCACTAAGAGTTAAAAAGCAGTAAGCCTAAATGAAAAGTAACGTTCGAGAAAAAAGGATGATTTACCTTAATGATTTTAGCCATACTAGCGCGAACGTCAATAAGATCTGTCTGAGGCAGCCTCGATAACTCGTTTTCGTGTGGTTGGCCTGCTTTCGCCCGCTGCGCCAACAGGAAACGCTGTCTGGCCCAATTGAGAACACGTCGTTCAGAGCAAGTGTCGGAGTCAACGCCAGACATAGATACAAGAGGGCCAAGTATAGCCTTGTCAATGTTATCTGAAGAGGAGTCGGGCTGAAATACCTGTTGGTCGGTAGTGCCAGAGACAAAGACGATTTGGACAAGATCTTCAAGGAATCTGCTTAACCAGCCAGTAGAACGCCTGGCTAAGAAAGATAAATATAGAGGTATGGAAAAAAAGATGAGCGTTATAAATGGAAAATAATTTTTGATATATAGAGATTATGCGAAAATCTGTTCTATTCAGACTATACACATCTCAATTTAGAGAAATTTTGATGAGCTGCTTGAGACTAAATTAAGCATTCCTACTGAATTAGCATCAAATATATAAGAAGAAGCATGTTACATAAAAAAATGTCAATAAATCTAAATATGTATACACTCTAGTTCATTTAAAATGAAGGACTGAAAGTTGAATTATTTTCAAAATGATCCCAGGTAGTGTAGCGTATAGTCTCGATGTCAAACAAAACGTCGCATGGCCACTAGTGTTGAGACTTTACTATACTACCTGTGTTGAAATATCGATGGGGGTGCTGATAAGACCTAAGCGAGGTCGAAACAACATTTAATCCTGGATGATAATACCTTTTTTGGATGCAAACCATGTAAAATATAAAGCAAAACGTGAGGACTACTTATCATTGTGGAAAGACTAAACTACCATTGTTTCTTAACCTTAAATAAAATATGATGAATATATCTCATATATATATATATATGGTAGTCTCTAAATCATCGGTCAGATTATAAGGAATAGCAGCTATTGAACGTCATATAAAAAAGA